CGCGCTTCCACTCGTGCTCACGCTCGTGCTTGCCATCATGCTGTCGCTCATGTTACCGATCGATATCGGCGACACCTCCTCCGATCGTTGCTCGGTGACGTATACGTAGCTGCCCGTACGAATCGACGGAGGGTATTGATCACCGACACCGGCCGCCATCCCCAGGGAATTTCCGCACTTGAGCTTGGACGGTCTCCTTTCGTTAATTATCGACTGCACGTCAAGATCGTCCGTCGGTGGAGCAGATACCCGTCGCTCGTTTTTCGTTTTCTTAGAATCGTCCAATTTGTTGCTACCCTTCGATGCACCGTTTTCCGTGTAATCGTTCGACACGCTCGGCGTTCTGGATGGGGCGTTGCTTGCGGTACCGACGCTCACGTTCGTGTCCGACTGTGACTGCGTGTCGCTCGATGGCCTGCGACTCAACGTTGCCTTGGACGGGTAAATAGTGGCCGTTGGCAAAAGATAACGTTCGCTGCTTAGTTTAGGACAGGCTAGCGTGGTTACCGAGCCGGCCGGTGACACCGGGGAAGAACTCGTTGGAGGTTTGATCACGCTCAACAAACACTTGTTCTCTTGTCCGTTGCTGCTGGTCGCCTGCCAACGTAAATTAGCATATATTAATTGCTGAGAAATCACGATGGTTAATTGCTTCGTGAATAGCGAAGGAAATGTGCCAGAGAGAGTTTTTGAAATTCTCTTTGAGATGTAGGATTCTTTGTGGAGGTGAATGATGATTTTTCTTTTCTTTCTTATTTCTTTTTCCTTTTTTTTTTTTTTTTTTTGTGAGGAGTTTGCGAGGACACTGAAAGGAGTTTAAAAGTAAAAAGTAAAGTATTAAATGAAACGATAGAAACTATGTTTAACGATAAAATAATTAGCGTGGCAAATGAGCTTGTATTTGACGCCTTGATGTGCACGGTAATTGAAAATTTGTATAGAACGATAAACACATTACTATGCGTGTACTATACGGTTGAAATAGTATTACGCAGGCTATCGAGAAGTCGCATTGATCAACTCCATCGATCGAGAAGCAAAAGGGATGACGTTGCAAAGGCTGTTTTTTCACATTCATCTCGGAATTTTCTATTGTTTATGTCATCTGTATTGTTTATGCAATGAACAGACTCGCGCGAGTACGTAATTTGTTTTCTAACAATGAAACTTTGATCGTCTACTTATGCAAGAAAGATGAGAAATTGGTAAAAAATAGAGTTGATCAGTTTGGCTTCTGGGAAGCTTCTCGTACGTGCTCGGAACGCAAAAGCATAGAACAACAAACGGGTCATCACGTGCTATTTTCTTTTTACTTTATCGATTTATCTGCGAACTGAAAACTTACTTGTAACTGTTAACAAAATTGCCTACCTAAGGGAAATAAAATTATAATCCCGATGAAAACTAATCATGCTTAGAATTTGTCGTTCGTAGAGAAAATAAAAATAATTTTACCTGTAACCTTAGACACTGCGCGTGGGTGGGTTCTCGGCTTACTGCAATGTAATTGCATTGAGGAATAATTCGAGGCACGCTTAGATTGCTCAGTGGCTTCTCGAAAACTTCGGCGACTTCAAAATGCATCGGCAGTAAGGATCTCCTCTGGTTATGCCCCGAGTGAAACGTTTGTCGACGCTTCGATTTGAACATGGACGGTCTTGAGCTGGAACGATGATACGAATTGCGCCGCGACAACGTGGCGAAAATCGTTCCGTCTATAAAACGTAGAAATTGCGATATCTTTTAGATTATTCGTTAAAAAAAAAAAAGTCACATATTATCGTGCACCTTAAAATTTCCTGATAAACGTAAAAGCATAAAATACTTTTAGCCTATTACGTCTTATTTCGTAATAAGGAAATTTCTTATGAAAAGTATATATGGAAAAGTATTTTAAAAATTCATACAAGTTTTCATCGTTGAAAAACGATACCCAAAATTACAAAAATACATTGCCAGTGCTTTAAACAGATCGATATAAAATTTCCTAAAATATTAGAATTTAGTATCTAATATCGAGATGTAACACTGCAGATGGCAATCAAATAATATTTTAATAATCAAAGAATGAATTAGATTTAATAACGACTGGTGAATAAAATAGATTACCACGAATCGTACGCAAGTTTGAAATATCGTTTTGCCTAATGCAAAATGGAAAATTGAAAGATTCGTTACGCGATTCATCGATTGAGCTGGCTTTGCCAGATCTATCCATAATTTACATTCAGTTGTCGAATATTTTACTGTACACGTACCGCCTTCGTCTTCCTCCCGTGGTGGATTGTAAATAAAATTCGCAGGCAAGGAACGAACTTTGGCAAGACCAGGTCTTCTCTTAATAAGAATCTTCTCGTTCGTCACTAAAATAGACTCGCGTTCTCTAAAGTCGTCGTCCTCCTCGATGCCACCATCGTCTCCTCTTCCTCGTTTCACCGTTTCCTCGTCTTCCTCTTCTTCCTCTACCTCCAACAGCTCTTCCTGCTCCGCGGCCAATTCCCTCTCCAGCTGAGTTTCCATGTCAAGCTCGTCTTCCATCTGAGAAATAAATTTTAGATTTTAACTCGATTCTCTTTCAATTTTATTACATTTTAACGCGATAGATATACATTTTCAACACCGAATCGTTCTATTTCACAATCTGTCACAGGGAAAGACGCGTTTGCGGTGTAACTTCTCAACGAAAATCTTGTCCCGATTAGCCACGAATCGGTCGAATTCACTGTCTCGATTAAGATAATATAGATATTTAGATAGAATCCGACACAAGGTTTTAAAGTTTAAATTTATATTTCACAAAGAATAACTTGGAACACTCGGTGCACGGATGAAAGTTAAACGTGAGCGAAGCGATGCCGTTTCACTGTGTCTCTGACTGAGTACGACTGAAGTATGGACGATGCGCGTGGTAAAAATGAAAACTCCAGGTAGAACATGGGACAAGCGAATTCGTCAATTGCAATTTCCAGCTAATTGGTAATTGATATAGAAGCAGGTATGCAAAGTGTGAACTGACCGTCCCCACTAACGGTTACTGGAAGGTACGGAACGTATCCTCGAGCGAAGCATAGGGAAATGTTAGAGATTGTATTGCAAGATTTAACCGTTAGGTTAATAAACCCAAGAAGCGCTTTGAGTTAAAAAGCGCATTGTAAAACTATGGGACTAGACAGAAACAATAAGCTTTATGGATGGCATATGGAATAAATGTCAGTAAAAATTCGTTCTCGACACAGGATTAATGGCTCCTTGGAGTTTGTTAATGGTCCGAGCGAATGTTAAGGACAGCGTAGATAGAGAAATACAACTGAAAACAGATATATGGCAACTTTAAAATATTAGAAATCGTTATTGTCGAAAGATTATTATGGATGAACAAATGGACGAGTGTACGAAGAGCGGGTCGCGTTACAGAACACGTTCAACGCACTATAATTATTAATTATACTTGTCGGAGACGAAAGGACACCGTGGCCTTCCCCTGGAACTTCGGGAAAATCCGTAAAATCGTAATTAAAGTTGTAATTAAACAATTTGCCGTCATTCTGCCAAATTGTACTTGTTTGCTATTATCTGTGATAATAAACTTGGCCTCAAGGCGACCATCAATCGTCGAACGTAGCCGCGGTCAACGGGACGGGCGCTCCGTCTAACAAAGGTGCGGAGCGATGTTATGACCCTCATTAAAGGAAATACCCATAGAGGTACCCGACAGTAAAACATGCCAACGGTTCCTTCGAACAATGAATACCTGATGTTGAGGCACGTACACAGCACAAGTCTGGTTAGCCCGAGGACCCGCTATAAAACTTGGGTTTTTCGACAATTAAGATTTGTGCAAACGGACAGGCAGCTTTTGTCTCAAATCGACCAATCGACAGCGACGTCGATCCGAGGATCTTGCGTACTTAGACACCCCACCATAGTTGGCCTTGGTAGCGTCATTGGGACGAAAATTCATTCTTTCTCGAGATCTCATCGGCGAAGGGAGTAGCGCCTTACGATGAGCGAGTAGTACACGTTTGAGTTAGAGCAAGTATATCTATCCTAAGTATATCTATCGAACCTAAGACCATTATCACTAGTGTCGCGAGTGCCTAATCGCCGCTGTTGATTGTCGAATCGGTAGTGTTCATACTCGTAGTATCAGGCCGTATCTTCGTTACAACACAACGCTGGCCAACTCCAAGGGAGGTCTATCAAACGCCCACAACCCTGTTCCTGACTCTTCTCCGACATACTAATTCGTATAATTTAGACATTTCATTCATGGAAATAGAAAATCGATTAAGAGTTTAATCGATTAATTCTCACCTGTTTGTGACTTTCTTCGAGGTGTTTCATGAGCACGGCGACGACGACGTTGACAAGAACGAATTGTGCCATCAGCACGAAAATTACAAAAAATATCGGGGCTATAATGGTGCTCACGCAACAATTCTTCACGCAGTCCGCTGCTTCGTCGCAGTCGTCCCTCAGGGTGTCCTTCATGATACCGTTCCAATTGTCGCCGGTGGCTACGCGAAAAAGCGTTAGAAACGCCATACCAAAATTACTGAAATGAGCATGCTCCCCGAGACCCTGGCAAGGCATGTCGTCGTTACATTCTGCAATAATTAACATATATCGTGGACTAAATTCCTACAGGAACTGGTAGCAAACGGTACTATAACATAAAATATACAACGTGGACAGCAGGGACAGAGATTATAACAAAACTGGGAAAACGATCGTACGCGAAAGAATAAGTAAAGAGAGGTAGGTAAGTTGGTTTTAAAGAGAATCGTTGTTTGAAAAATTCTCTGTGATAATTTAGCGCTTACCTAATCGGCCAAATAGTTCTACACCAAGAGCTGCGAAGATGAAAAAGAGCAGAAAAAATAGTAATCCTAGATTTCCAACTTGCGGTAACGCCTGCATTACCGTATCTAAAAGGGCGCGTATGCCTTTTGCCATTTTCAGCAACTTCAAAACTACAAAAATCGTTCCAATCGTTAGCCGATCCCCTTCGTTGTCCTCTTGTTTTCTTTTCTTTTTTTTCTTTTTTTTTTTTTTTTGTAACTTACCTCTAGCGATTCGTAAAACTCTCATTACCCGAATTATCGTAGGATTGATCGGAATGATCTTCGACTCAACTTCTTCAAGAACTATACCAACCACCGATAATATCACGATTCCTACGTCTAATTGATTCCATCTAGGGTGAAATAGTCAGTTTGAATATTTGATACTGCGCGAAAAAATGTATTTTTTTTTTCTTTTTTGACGAAAGTACGACATACTTGTCTTTAAGGTAAAGATGTAGACCTAAGGCAACGAGTTTCATAAAAGATTCGAGGATGAAGACCGCGGTGAAGAAATAATTGAATATCTTTAGAGCGTAAGTCAGAGCTTTTGGCATCATGTAAAATTCCATCGCCATGGTAACAACATTCAGGCCGATCACCGCAGCAATTGCTAGGTCGAAATATTTAGAAGTCACAACGTTGTGAACGAATAGCCTCGATTTTGAGTAGTTCGTGTAGTAGGGTGGCTCGTGCATTTCTGCGAATCGAATGGTTTGCCTTTAATTTCGTTTCTTCGATCTCGTTCAGTTAAATGCAAAGCACACTCTTCCTTTTCTTACTTCGTCGTTTCTTCTCCATTTGCAAGGCTCGTTTGGCGGCTCTTCTCACTCGTTCCTCCTTCTCCTGTTCCTCGCGACATCTATGAAAATTTTCCACCACAACGCCCACGAACATGTTAAGGACGAAGAAGCCAACCAACAGGATAAAAGCTATGAAGTAGAGCAGTCGCCATTCCGAATAATTCTCGATTGGCTGAAACGGATAATAAGGGATACTTTGCAGGTATACCTAATCGGATTACAATCAGGATAAACCAGTTACTAATTTCATAATAATCGTTAAAGTAAGACCACGGTTTAACATTTTCATGTGCACACTCTCTTTCTGGAATACGTATATTTTATACGTACATTTTTTTAAATAATTTCACCGACATAATTGAAGCTCGTATCGCCAACCAAAGAACGCATACCACCAAAGCTGTTAAAAATTCTGTTACCAGAGACGATTTACACGTTACAAATGTCATTTTTATTTACTGGAAGTATCGTTTCCACGACAGTAAAAACGATAACCTCTAAAGGCGATGAAACGATCTTCCACCAGAAAGTAAATCTAAAAGGCGATCCTACTTGGGATTATGGTATTGCGATCGATAATCTGGTCGAATTAAAAATCAATGTTGGTATTAAAAAGAAAGAACTTTGGAGGAAAAAATAAATGACCCTAGGGTATATGTAGATTAAGCGAAGTGGTAATATAATATGCAAATAAAATTGGCGCACTCGAGCGCGTTACCTGTTGATCGACGCCTACAGCGTCGAGT